AATGTGAGGCTCAATTTCACAACCCTGAGATCATAACCTGAGCCTAAATCAAGAGTTAGACTCATAACTGACTGAGCCATCCAGGTGCCCCTTTAGTGTTTTTTTATTTCAGGCTGAAGTACTTCCTTTGGCATTTCTTACAGTTCAGACCTACTAGTGATGAACTCTCAGTTTTTGTTTACGTGGTAATATTTTAATTTCTCCTTAATTTTTGAAGGATGGTTTTGCCAGATACAGAATTTGTGGTTGACAGATTTTTTTTTTCTTTTCAGCACTTTGTATACGTCATCCCACTACCTCCTGCCTCCATAGTTTTTTGTTTTTTTTTTTTTAAGATTTTATTTATTTGAGGGCCCCTGGGTGGCTCAGTCGTTAAGTGTCTGCCTTTGGCTCAGGTCGTGGTCCCAGGGTCCTGGGATCGAGTCCCACATCGGGGTCCCTGCTCAGCGGGAAGCCTGCTTCTCCCTCTCTCACTCCCCCTGCTTGTGTTCCTGCTCTCGCTATCTCTCTCTCTGTCAAATAAATAAATAAAAATCTTAAAAAAAAAAAAAGATTTTATTTATTTGAGGGGTGCCTGGGTGGCTCAGTCAGTTAAGCATCTGCCTTCAGCTTGGCTCATTGTCCCAGGGTCCTGGGATCGAGTCCTGTGTTAGGCTCCCTGCTCAGCGGAGAGTCTGCTTCTTCCTCTCCCTCCCTCCCTCCCTCCATTCATGCTCTTTCTCTCTCCCGCTCTCTCTCTCAAATAAATAAATAAAAATCTTAAAAAAAAATTTTTTTTAAAATAATAAACAAGGATTTTATTTATTTGAGAGTGTGAGAGAGAGAGCACAAGCAGGGGGAGGGGCAGAGGTAGAGGGGCAAACAGACTCCACGCTGAGCAGGGAGCCCGACGTGGGGCTCAATCCCAGGACTCTGGGATCAGGACCTGAGCCAAAGGCAGCCACTTAACCGACTGAGCCACCCAGGTGCCCCTGCCTCCATAGTTTTTGATGAGAAGTCAGCTATTTGTCTTATTGAGGATTCTTTGTACATGATGATTCTTTTCTCTTGCTGCTTTTAAGAGTCTCTGTATTTGGCTTTCAGCAGTTTGATTACAATGTGTCCTGGTGTGGATCTTTTTGAGTTTATCCTAGTAGGAGTTTGTTGAGCTTGGATGTGTAGATTCATGTCTTTCATTAAATTGGAGGGGATTTGGGCCATTATTTTTTCAAATTTTCTTTATGCCCCCCTTTCCCCTCTCCTCTCCTTCTGGCAGTCTCATTATGCATTTGGTTGTAAGCTTGATTTTGTCCCACAGGTCTGTTAGACTCTGTTCATTTTTCTTCATTCTTTTTTCTTTCTGTTACTTGGGTAGTAACTGTTATTCTTAATTGACCTATCTTCAAGTTCACTGATTCTTTCCTCTGCCTGCTGAAATCTGCCATTAAGCCCAGCACTATTGAATTTTTCATTTTACTTATTGCAGTCTCCACCTTCAGAATTTCTATTTGGTTCATTTTTCTATTTCTGTCTCTTTATTGATATTCTCTACTTTTTGAGACATTGTTCTCATTATCTCCTTTGGTTATTTAGACATGGTTTCCTTGAACTTTTTAAGCATACTTAAAATAGTTTATTTAAAGTCTTGGTCTAGGGACACCTGGGTGGCTCAGTTGGTTAAGCGACTGCCTTCAGCTCAGGTCATGATCCTGGAGTCCCAGGATCGAGTCCCACATCGGGCTCCCTGCTCAGCAGGGAGTCTGCTTCTACCTCTGACCCTCTTCCCTCTCGTGCTCTCTATCTCTCATTCTCTCTCTCTCAAATAAATAAATAAAAATCTTAAAAAAAAAATAAAGTCTTGGTCTAGTGGGGTGCCTGTCTGGTTCAGTCAGTAGAGTGAGTGACTCTTGATCTTGGAGTTGGGAGTTTGAGCACCATGTTGTGGGTGGAGTTCACCTAAAAAACAAACAAACAAACAAACAATGTCTTTGTTTAGTTAATCCAATGTGTGGGCTTCCTCAGGGCAGTTTCTATTAATTTGATTGTCTAATGCTCACAGAAGAACATAGGGGCTATACTTACTTGTTTCTTTGCATGTCTTGTGATTTTTTGTTGTTGAAAACTGGACATTCTGAATATTATAATTTGGCAACTCTGAAAATCAGATTTTCTCTCTTCCTCAGGGTACATTGTTGCTGCTTGTTGTAGTTATTGTTTGTTTAATGGCTTTTCTGAATTATAAATTTTGTAAAGTTTGTACTCTTTGTCATGTGTGGCCACTGAAGTCTCTTTTATATTAACTTAGTAGCCAACTAGTGATTTGACTATTTCCTCATATATCTGAACCAAAAAATAAAAAAAATAAAATAAAACAAAAGCTCCCTGCTTTTGCAGATGGGGTCTACTTTGTGTTTGGAGCATGTTTTTGTCACTCAGCCAGGCAGTTTACAGCTCTGTCTTAGCTTTCACTTCCTGCTTGAGCAGAGCCTCGTTGTCAACCAGAGGTAAAAGTTTTGGGCCCTCTCAGTTTTCTTCTGAGCATGAATCCATCCCTGGGCAGATATGCATGTGGCTTTCTAGATTCCCATGAATATGGTCAGAGCTTTTCAAAGCCTTTATTCCCTAAAGCATCTCGTCAGCCTTTCCTCCCTAACTTTTCAGTTTTGTTTGTTTGCACTAAGTGTCATCCTTTGCCCCATATAGCAGCAACTAATACATCTACCTTGAACTGTTTTTGACAAATGCACCCTGGGTAGTTACCTGGGTAGTGCCTGAATTAGGCACATACCCTTTGAGTCAACCCCTCAGGGAGCTACCAGACAAGTTAAAACAACTACAATTCTTTGAGAATAAGGTGTGCTCTGCTCCCTTTGGTACTTGACACCGTACTAGGAATGTGGGTTATTTTTAAGGCTGTTGCCAAACTGGGGATTGGAGGATGGTACCAGGGTAAGTTAAAGTGTCACAAAGCTCTCTTACTGAGACTCAGCTATTTTTTCTTGATTAAACATTCTCTTAGTTGCTATAAGGTTTTGATTAGATTCCAGAGTTCTGAACTGAGTTTTGGAGTACCCCTTTTTTTTTTTTAAGATTTATTTATTTACTTGAGAGAGAGAGAGAGGAGGTGCAGAGGGAAAGGGAGAGAGTATCCCAAGCAGACTCCTCTCTGAGTGTGGACCGTGACTTGGGACATGATCCCAGACCCTGAGACCACAACCTGACCCCAAACCAAGAGTCCGACACTCAACCAACTGCACCAGCCAGGCACTCCTGGAGTTCCCTATTTTTCCTGACATTTTTGCTGGCATCCTATATTTTCATTGCATCTTAAAAAGCCCTTTTTATCAACACATACCCCCCCAGTTCTGGTTCTTATCACTGCACATCAGGAATATTTTAGGGATTTTTTTTTTTAAGTAATCTTAAGTAATCTCCACACCCAACATGGGACTTGAACTCATGACCCCAAGATGAAGAGCTGCATGCTCTACTGACTGAGCCAGCACAGCACCCCTTAGGGATTCTTAAAATGGTGCCTCTGATATACCACCACCTCCTTGATCATGTGACTAGCTGCTGAGACAGCTGCAGCTCACAGTTTCTTCTTGCCTATTAAATGGTGTCTCCAAGCTCTAGTTCCAGCATGGCTTTCCAGCTCTCTCTCACTGCTCTACCCGCCCCGCCACTCCCATGCTGTTTTGATGAATCCACACAGGTAGGCTGCTCCCAAGTGTGCAATTTGCTTTCCACTGCATTCCACCTCCATTGATGCTGCTCTTGCACCTCCATTCATGCTCTTTGCTCCCCATCTGGATTGTCCCCTACCTTCACCTCTGCCTACTGAAACAGTATTCATATCTTAAGAATCAACTCACACGGGGCACCTGGGTGGCTCAGTTGGTTAAGTGACTGCCTTCAGCTCAGGTCATGATCTTAGGGTCCTGGGATCGGGCCCTGCATTGGGCTACCTGCTCGGCGGGAAGCCTGCTTCTCTCTCTCCCATTCCCCCTGCTTGTGTTCCCTCTCTCGCTGTCTCTCTCTGTCAAATAAATAAAATCTTAAAAAAAAAAAATCAACTCACACTTCAACCTTTCTATAAAGTCATTTTTAATCACTTCAACCAAAGCTAATCTCCTTCCACTAAATTGCTATGACATTTTTGTGCCATTAATGTGATGTATGTCATATTACTGCTTACATTATTATCTATAATCATGTTTTCATTCATTCATTCTTTCCATAAATATTTAGTAGCACCCATTGTTTGCTAGGGCTAGAGTGGAAAGACATTGTCCTTAATGATCATTAGTTAAGACATTGAACAAATAAGCACATATCTATTATAATCATTACTTAGAAAGAGGAGGAACCCAGTAGGATTCTGTGAGTGACAATAGGATGAGTCCAAGTTTCTCAGGTTAATAGTGAGGGGAGGACATGACAGGTAGAGTGAACAACATGCCAGAGGAATCTGGAGTACTCTGTGTCCCTTACCATCTCTATAAGAGTCAGAGAAACATTTCCATTACCACAGTGCTTTATACTTCCTACCCATAGAGAAAGAAATTAATGAGTCGACATTAAGAAGAAGGTAAATTTGATAAGAAAAAAAAGAACCTGGGCGCCTGGGTGGCTCAGTCAGGTAAGCCTCTGACTCTTGGTTTCAGCTCAGGTCATGATTTCAGGGTCCTGAGACCAAGCCCCCACGTAGGGCTCCCCACTCAGCGGGGAGTGCGCTTCCCCTCTCCCTCTGCCCCTCCCCCTGCTTGTGCACTTTTCTGTCTAAAATAAATAAATAAATCTTAAAAAAAAACCCAATGATAAAAAGGGGGAAGAATAAGTGAACAGTCAGAAAATAAGATCCTTTAGTTTCCTTTCTATTTCAATAAAATAATGGCAGTAGCAGCAGCAGCTAACATTTATTGAATGCTTACTCTGGACTAGGACTGTGCTAAAAGCTTTATATGTGTCATTTTATATAACTTCTAAATTGTATTGTGTCTGCCCTTTCTTTTCTGCAGTGTCTTGACTCAGTGTCAGGATGTAGAGCTCTCCTTCCTACAGCAACCAGAAGGATCCAGTCTCTTTGGTGGTACAAAGAGGGGAACACTGTTTCTCACTTCATACCGGGTAATTCTACTTTGATCGGATTAACTGCACATTTGTTTTCCTTAAAATGGAGCGAGGTTAGACATTGACTTTCAAAGTGTTTTAAAACATTCACACTTTTATGATTTTCCATGTTGAGGAATATGGAAGAAAATGGGTGATGTTTCTCAATTAGGCCAGGATGTCAAAGCAGCCTTGACCTTAGAATTGCTCTGCTATGTCTCAATCCGTGGACAAACTGCATTCCTTCTCTGAAATTTCTTTCCTCTCCTAGGTGATCTTCGTGACCTCACACACAGTCAATGACTCCATGTTTTCTTTTATGATGCCATTTCATCTGATGAGTAACTGCACCATCGAACAACCAGTCTTTACCTGCAACTTCATTAAAGGAATCATTCAGGCAGCTCCAGATGGTAAGTGTTCCCCCTCAGAAGTGTATTTTTTTTCTCAAAAGCTTCCAGAAGGTTTAAAATTCAGACTTGGCTCATACAGGAATTTAAAGAAAACTGCCCTGCTCCTTTGGGTAGTGATTCTGTCTCTGTCTGGGGCAGTCCTCTCTGGCCGGCGGTGCCAGCATCTTAGTGAGTGTGTGCCATTTCTTCCCCCAGGTGGCTGGGAAGGACAGGCTACTTTTAAATTAGCCTTCAGAAAAGGAGGTGCCATCGAATTTGCCCAGTTGATGATGAAAGCTGCCTCTGCTGGTGAGCAATGCTAATAAAGATACTAAACGCTTTGGGGTTTTGAGGCCTGTGGAATTGAAGTAGGACTATCACCTACTGGGTCAAGACTTTGGCCTCTGTGGTCAGGCAGTTGGTAGCTGCCCATTTATTCAACATGCATTTCCTGAGCCTCCCTACTATGGGACACGTACCATACCACACGCTGGGAGCAAGATTATTCAGTCCCTCCTTGTCTTAAAGGAGTTTGCAATCTACCAGGAGCTTATACTCAGACACCTGAATGACTAATTTCACCTGATAATCTTTTGTCCATTTAAATGCTGGTCTTATATCATTGAGTAGTCTCATTTTCAGGTCAGGGAGCCCCAGGTGCCTGAGCTCTTTTACCTCTGTCATGCCTTTTTGTCTTTTCTCCTCTCTGGCTTTTCCTTTGCTTCTCTTAGGTTTAGTTCCCATCTTCCATGAGAAGAGGGAAGAGGTGTTGTCAAGCACTACAGCACTGATCTAACGTATACACCAGATAACTCGTTCAGATTTTGAATACAAGTAATCCTTTTATGGGGCACCTGGCTGGCTCAGTCGGTAGAGCATGTGACTTGATTTAGGGGTTGTGAGTTCAAGTCCCATGTTGGGCATAGAGCCTACTAAAAAAAAATAAATAAATCCCTTAATGATGTATTTTTATTTAATCTAGCCTCATTTCATATCCCTACTCTCTCCCCTTTTGTACTCCAATCTAACTAGACTTCTTTGTGCCTTGTTCTCTCATCTCTGAGCCTTCATGCTATTTGTTCTCTATGGGTAATTTTTTAAAATTAATTAATTAACTAATTAATTTATTTATATTTTTAAAATAAACTCTATACCCAATATAGGGCTTGAACTCATGACCCCAGGATCAAGAGTCACATGCTCTACTGACTGAGCCCACCAGGTGCCCTGAAATTTGCTCTATTTGGAATGTTCTTTCTCCTTCTCCCTTGCCTCCATCCCCAACTCCAAACTAGCTGAGATGAACACAATCCAGTTGAGATGGACATATGCAAATATGCCATAATAGAGACATGGACAAAGTGCTGGGGACACAGAAGGATGGAATGAATTTTCTAGCTCAGAAGACTGACTAGATCATGATGCTATAAACCATGGTTAAGAATACAAGAGACAGTCCAAGTTGGAGAGGAAATGAGTTCAATTTTAGATATAATAATACTAACATTTAATGAATGCTTACCATATAGTGGGCAGTGTTCCAAGCCCTTTACATGTGTCAATACTTGTAACCCTCACAAAAACTTATGATGTAGCTATAATCATCATCCCCAGTTGATAACAGGGGAAACTGAGGCAGTGATGGTTATACAGTTTCCCAAGGCTGTCCAGGTAGACAGTGATGGAGCTAGAATCTGAACCCTAAACCTCTTCTTGCTCTTTTTTTGGAACTTTTTATTTTGAAAAATAATCATGTCTATGGAAAAGTTGCAAGAATATTACAACAAACTCTTATGGACCATTTGTCTAGATTCACCCATTATTAACATTTTCCCACATTTGCTTTATCTATTCTTTTTTTGCTTTTTTTTAAATTAAGATTTTATTTATTTATTTGACAGAGAGACACAGCCAGAGAGGGAACACAAGCAGGGGGAGTGGGAGACGGAGAAGCAGGCTTCCTGCGGAGGAGGGAGCCCGATGCAGGGCTCCATCCCAGGACCCTGGGATCATGACCTGAGCTAAAGGCAGACGCTTAATGACTGAGCCACCCAGGCGCCCCTTTGCTTTGTTTTTATTGAACTATTTGGGAGTAAGTCACAAAGATCATTTCCTTCATTCCTAAGTATTTAGGAGCAAGGGTATTCTCTTATCTACCCTCAGTCTACTTATCAAATTCAGAAAATTTAACATAGAAACAAAGCTATTATTTAATATATGGTTTATATTCAAATTCAAATGATTAAGCCATTACTGTTCCTAATTCTAATAGCACACTTTTTTTTTTTTCCAATAAGGATCTAATCCCAGATTACACATTGAATTTAGTTGTCCTAGGTCTTTGGTCTCCTTTAATATGGACTCAGCCTTTCTTTGTCTTTCTTGACATTGACATTTTAAAGAGAATACAGGCTTATTGTTTTGTAGAATGTCCCTTAATTTGGGTTTGTCTGTTTCCTCATGCTCAGATGCAGGTCATGCATTTTGGCAGGAATACTGTATAAGTGATGTTGTATTCTTTTGATCCTATACTCGTAATTCCTGCATCTTATTAAATGTGAGGTACGTCGGAATGCTAGTGGCCAGTGGATGTGCAGCTCACAGCTCCCAAAGATGAACTATATCTAGAGACTGATTTAGAAATCCTCAGCACACAGATCATCTCTGGAGCCATGTGAGTAATAGGATCATTCAGTGACTTAAGGATGGTATTCCAAGGGTCCTCAACATCTCAGGGATGGGTAGGGAGGGGTGACCATAATGAAGATTGCAAAGGGGCTGACTGAGGTAGGAGGAGAATTGAGTGAGTTTATTATCCCAGAGGTCAAGGAAGGAAAGTTTCAAGCATTACTGAGTGGTCATCTGTCAACTGCTACAGAGATGTTTGATAAAATTAAGACTGAAAAATGTGCATCGCGTGTGGAAATTTGAGTTTGTTGGTGGTCTTGACCAGAGAGAAATGCTAAAGAAGACAGGTGGCAGAAAAGCGATATATAGGAAATTGAGGAGTAAGAAATTTTTTTACTGTTACCTTTAAGATACAGTGCAAAGATATAAAGGCCAAGGAGTTCACACGCTGTACCCAACCAACAGCTCATCGTTGTCCAAAGGGCAGACAGCATCTGGAAGCCTGACATTGGATAACAAGGTGTCCTGGCAGACAGAGCATAGCCATGTGGGACCCAGAGTCAGGGGACACTTGGAAGTCCAGCTCCTCTTTGCTACAGATGTCTGCAGAACTCAGAATAATTGCATACTGGGTCTTGAGTTTACTCTTATTTTTGGCCTTACGGTACTGAGGGGGTCTTTTTTAGGATTATGGACTAAGAATCAGGAAACGTGTGGGGATCCTCTTTGTGCTCTCATTAAGATCTGTTCCTTGGCCTGCAAAGCTACAGAGTCCCAGCAGTTACATAGCTACTTGGGAAGAGTTTAGGCAACTTATGTGAACTTGGCCCAATGTCTGGACCTACTATGGGTCTGATTATATCATGGGCTTAAGTGTGGGAGCCTACCCCCACTCCCCCGGTAAGAGTCAGGGCTTGTGAGATGGGCTTCCTTGAGGCCTTTAAGTTAACTACCCATCACGCTTCATGATCTGATTCTTTGACACTTTGCAGAAGTCCCTTCCCCTCTGCAGAGCTGACTTGTTGGGGCTCTTTGATTCTTGTTTTTACCAAATACGTATTGAGTACCTATTGTTTGCCAAACACTGTATGAGATAATTGAGAACACAGCAGTGCACAGGGCGTCATAGTCCCTACCATTGTTAAGCTTACTGTCTAGTGAGAGTCAGATAAGAAATAAGCGAACAGAGACGCCTGGGCGGCTCCGTGGGCGAAGCGGCTGCCTGCGGCTCAGGCCCCGATCCCGATCCCGGCGTCCTGGGATGGAGCCCCGCGGCCGGCACCCGGCCCCTCGGCGAGCCCGCTTCTCCCTCCCCCTCTGCCTGCCGCTCCCCCTGCTTGTGCTCGCTCTCTCTCTCTGTCAAATATGTAAATAAAATATTTTAAAAAAAGAAATAAGCGAACATAAATTAATAAAATAATTACTTCTGGGAAGACTGTTAATAGGGTATTGAAAAGGAGGATAACAGGGGTAAAGAGCACAACCTCCGGTTTACAACGAATTCGTTGACACCGTGCTGCTACCGAAGCAGAGAAGCCCCGCGGACTATCGATGGCTTAGGGCGATACATATTACTGCTCACGTAAAGGACAATCAGCAGGGGCAAAAGGGGGCTCTGAACCACAGAGCCCTTGAGGGACCCAGGGTACCAGGGTCTCCGCCATTTCTAAAGCATGGCTTCCACGGCCCCTCTGGATAGCCAGCAGAGAGGGAAAGAGAGGGAAGCTGGCACCAGGGAAGCCCTGGAAGCGGTGTACGTCATTTCCGGTCATATGCCATAGGCCAGAAATGAGTGTGGTGGGCTGATAACGGTTCCCAAAGACATATCCATGCCCTAATCCTCAGAATCTGTGAATGTTGCCTTGTTTGGAAAAAGAATCTTTGCAGATGTAATTAATTTAAGGATCTTGAGATGAGATTACCCTGGATCATCCAGGTGGGTCCCAAATGCCATCACAGAGGTCCTTATAAGAGAGATGCCGAGGAAGATAACAAGAAGTGCTCTCTTTCTTCTGTATCACGTTGCCATTACATTGGTCTTTAATGGAGGTATCTTGCCAACTTGATAGAATCCTCACTTGGAAATGTTTTCTGAATATTTTTTATGGTAAGTGCTATGCTAGGCCCTGAATAAGCACAGGCAAATAAGACACAATCTCTGCCCTCAAAAAGCATACAATTCAGAACAAGGGAGGTGTATATTTTTTATCTTGTATCCTGGGAGCATTGTTGGACACACATGTAAGATGATGGTTGATACTCTATTAATTATTTGGTTGATAGCTACCGTACATCTGACTTAAAAGAATTAAGAAGTCCTTATTTTGCCAAACTTGTCTTCTCAGCTGCCAGAGGAGTTCCACTTGGAAGTGTAAATTACTGGTTCAGCACTCCAGGACTGTACGTAGTTACTGGGCAGGGGGGCATGATGTGCTCCCAACAGATGCCTTGTCCAGGTAAGGAATGGCAGGGAAGTTCTTCTTGGGAGGTGGAAAAGTATGCCAGGGGCTCAAAGATCCACTCATTACTAATTTGCCTCCAATTCTGCTACAGGAGAAATAGGAGAAGTTAAGGGAATTGGAAAATAGTTTGAGTCCATGGCTTCATTTCTAGACTGAAGCCCAGTGGCAGGTCAGCAAGTGACTGGGCTTCAGTTTCAGGCTTACTTTTAATTGTAATGTACACATATGGAGCATACCTGGGAAACTCCTGTTAGCGGGAACGGTCACTTCCTGCTTATAGCCTGAGCAGAAAAAGTGTGCTCTTGCCACCCCCCGTCCCACTTCACACAAGGATAGCCATCCTGCTTGTGCCATGCCCTTCACCCTCACTGAGGACTCCAGCTTTATGCCCTGTGCCCTTTAACAGTTGTGCCTGTCCACAGTGATTCTCAAACGTGGTCCGTAGCCTATAGGTGGGCCACAGAGGGTCTCCTAACAGGCTGTCAACAGGCCCCAAAATGTAGCCGTTTCTTGAGTTCTCCTTGGAACATGACATACATGTCTACCAGCTTTTAGTTTTGTACACAACTGATGTCACAAAATTACATCTTTATAGTTGTGTACCTAAAAATATAATCTAATAATTCTTTTAAGCGCATTCATCTCTTAGAGGTGCCTGGGTGGCTCAGCTGGTTAAGCCTCTGACTCTTGGTTTCAGCTCAGGTTGTGATCTCAGGGTCGTGAGATCAAGCCCTGTGTCAGGCACTGTGCTCAGTGTGGAGTTTTCTTGAGATTCTTTCCCCCTCCTCCTCCCTCCCCCTCTGCTCCTTCTCCCACTTTCATGCTCTCTCTTATTATTAATAAATAAATAAAAATCTTTAAAATAAATAAATAAATGCATTAGTCTCTTAAATTATGTAGAAAACAAAAAAATGGAATTACAAGCCATTGTAAAAAAATACTAGCTTTTGTAATTGTCCAGTGATTCACCTTTACTGAGACCTTTATTTCTATAAAGATGGCTTTAAATTATTGTCTGTTGCCCTTTCACTTCACCCTGCAGGACTACCTTAAGCACTTCTTGCCCTGCAAGAATGAACTCCTTCAGCTTTCGTTTATCTGGGAACATCTTCATTTCTCCCTCACTCTTGAAGGAGTTTGGCCAAATAGAGGATTCTTGTTTGACAGTTTATTTCTGGCCTCGAAAGCTTCTGATGAGAAATCTGCTAATTACCTTATTGAGGATCCCTTGTATGTGATGATTCACTTCTCTCTTGCTGCTTTCAAGATTCTCCCTTTGTCTCTGTCTTTTGAAAGTTTAATTAGAATGTATCTCAGCTTGTGTTTCTTTAAGTTGATCTTACTTGAAGTTTATTGAGCTTCCTGGATGTTTATATTCATGTTTTCATCAAATGTAGGAAGTTTACAGTCATTATTTCTTCAAATATTTGCTCTGTCCCTTTTTCTCCTCCTTCTGGGACTTCCACGGTATGTATGTTGATCTGCTCAGTGGTGTTCCACAGGTCCCTCTGTTCACTGTTCTTCAGTGTTTGGTTGGGTTGTTTTTTTTGTTTTTTGTTTTCCTATTCCTCAACCTCTACTCTTTCCATTGTCTTATCTTCAAGTTAACGGATTCATTCTTCTGCCTACTCAAATCTGAATTTGAATCCCTCTAGTGAATTTTTCATTTCAGTTACTGTACTATTCAGCTCCAGAATTTCTTTTTGGTTTCTTGTTAAGTTTTCCACCTCTACTGATATTTGTGTTTGATGCGTACATCATTTTCTTGACTTCCTCCACATTTTCCTTTAGTTCTTTGAGAATCTTTAAGATAATTCTTTTAAAGTTTTTTCTAGTTAGCTGAAACATAAATATCTATTACAGCAAAATAACTTGACAGTTGTCCATTCATTGACTCAGTTAAACCACTTTGGAAATGTAGCCAAGAAAATAAATAAAGCCCAGGTTTATTGCAATGTGAATTAGAAAGTTGGAAACAGGGGTGCCTGGGTGGTGCAGTTAAGTGTCAGACTCTTGGTTTTGGTTTAGGTGGTGATCTCAGGGTCCTGGGATCGGGTCCCGCCTCGTCTTCGAGCTCAGTGTGGAGTCTGCTTAAGACTTTCTCCCTCTCCCTCTGCCCCTCCCCCCTCCCGTGCTTAAGCTCAAGTGTGCTCTCTCTCAAATAAATAAATAAATAAAATCTAAAAAAAAGAAAGTTGGAAACAACATGCTCTCCTACAGCAGGGAAATTAAGTAGCACCTATCCATGTGATAAAATATTGTCCAGCTTTTAATGTATGAAATATGTTAATAATATAAAGAAATTTTTTATAATGTCAAGTAAAAAGAGCCAGATAAAAAAATGTGTGTGTGTTATGATTGTGATTATATAAAAATATTAACAGAGATCCTACAAAGAAATATACCAAAATATTAAGTTTTTGAGAGTCTTTGAGAGTGGAATTATAGATGACTTTTAAAGTTCATCTTTTCTCTATTTTTCAAATGCATATTCCTCATTGAGCATGTATAACTTTCTTCATACTCAAACAAAATTTATTAAGTAAATTATATCTATGAGCACAACTATAAGTAATATAGAGATATAACCGTAGGGTTATTTTCATGTTAATTTGAACCCCTCCACAACAGGAAATGATAAAGCCTTCATCTGGTGGTGGCTGAAGGATCTGGTTTTAGCATTATTCTGCCTGAATTCTCTTCCTGTGTCAGTTTTCTTCTTCCTCCTTCTTACCTACTCCTTGTCCACTTGAAAAAATGAGTAACTGATTTTTTTTTCCTTCTCAGCATACCCATTTGTTGTCTATGGACCCCCACAGGCAGGATACAGACCCCCACAGGCGGGATACGGACCCTCCCCAGGGGTGTATGGAACCCCACAGGTGGGATACGGACCCCCACAAGCAGGATACGGGTCCCCACCTGTGGGATACAGACCCCCACCTGGGGTATGTGGAACACCCCCTGCAGGATACGGACCCCTACCAGCTGGAAATGAAGCTTCACCGGCTGCAAATGAAGCCCCTCCTCCAGGATATGAAGTTCCACCTGCTGGAAATGGAGCTGGGTCTAGCAGATTTATGGCAGCCCAGCCTGCTGGATATGAACCTTCTCTTCCCCCTGCTTCATCTTCTGAGGCCCAGCCACCATCTTTCAGGAAATAACCCTTGAAGACTCACCAAGCAAAGTGGCACTCAAGAACCAAGGTCAGCACAAGAAGGCAAACTCAGGTATGTGATTAAAGGTGTGTCTGAGGTAGTGTGGCACCCTGAGGGGGGGCAGTCTTAGGGGGAGGATGAAGCTTTACTTCCATGCCTAGACTCTAGAAGCTGAGTCAACTCTTGATTAGATGGGCCAAAGGAGAAGTAAAATTAGAGCTAATTCCCTGATAATTTGGTTGACATTGGCCTGTATTTTTTACATACGTGAGGGTGGAAAAAGCTTCCTCGCCTTTCTTCCCTCCCCCACCCAAGAAACATTTATTATGCTGTTTGCTAAAATATGTTAGAAATATCAAATTGAACACTTAGTTGTTTTTCACAGTGTTGTTTATATTATTGAAAGGATGGGCCAACCTAAATTTCCATTAGTGAGAGAGAATTTCATAAATCATGGTATATCCATACAGTGGAATATTATGTGGCCACTGAAAATGATATCTGGATGTAGGAAAAACCTTCTTTAAGAAGATCAAAAACAAAAAACAAAAAAGAAGATCAAAAACAATGAAGCAATATAGGAAAGCAGTGATAAGGTTGACTATATCAAAATTTGAAACTTCTATATGACCAAAATTAAAAGATAGGAAACAGAATAGGAGAAAGTTAATCTCCAACATGTATGTTAAACAAATAATTTATAGTCAGAATATATGAAGTTCTCCTACAAGTCAATCAAAAAGAAAAAATGGACAGAAGATGTGAATTCCCAATTAACTGAGGCAATAGAGTGGCTTAGAAACATTTGAAAAGATGTTTATTCAACTTGACTAGTGTTAGGAAAACGCAACTTAACATGAGAAACAATTGTATCTCCAAAGATTTACAAATATTGAAAAGATTGAAAAACTTAAGTGTTGAGAAGGAACACATGTAGGGAAAAGGTTATTTTATACAATATTGGTGAGAGTATAACTTGGTATTAATTTTTAGAAGGAAATTTGGCAGTTCCTTTTAAAGGTTAAAAGATACTCAAGATTTAGCAGTTTCACTTCTCAGTATTCCTGAGAAATCCTTGCACATGTGCACAAAGATGTGTGTAGGAAGATGTTATTACATTGTTTCTAACATCACAGAATTAGAAATAACCTATGTGTTCACTAATAGTAAATATTTACATAAACTATGGTACATCTAAGCTACATGTGCAAAATTTTCTGTCTTAATGTTAAATGAGAAAGGCAAATTGTAGGGATTATATACTCTGGTGAATTTCAATCCCATGAGACTGAATGCCCCCATAACAAATAATTTGTAATGTCTCCTTTAGATCATTGGAATGAAATTTGTAGACCACTGTGTATGATTCCACACCATTTCAAACAAAATCAATATATAATACCATAAATGTGATATAAAGAAATAATAGAAAACTAGTTTGAAGTAAAATTTTAAGTATTTTAATATATAAATGCTCAAATTCCACCATACTAGAAGACAACAAAGTAATCACTTGCTCACCCCCCATACATAGATTCACCAAATTTGTAAACACTAGGAAAGCCAACTGATCCATGTATGTTGTATTAGTAACTTGAATACCATGCTGGCAATGCCATTGGCAATGTCATTTTCCAAAATGAACAATTCTTGACAAATTTCCAAATAAAAGAGTTTGGTTTCCCTTGATTTCACAGTGGTTGAATTCCTGAAGAGTTCTGTGTGTATTAAAATCATTTAAAACAGGGTTAGGCTCTAGGCTTAAATGATTACAAGCACGTGTTTCACCTTTATCAATGGCCAGAGATTCATTTGAAAGTCATGAGGGGATATAGGACAATTGTTTGTTGTGAGGAACTGCCCTGTACTTTTCAGGATATCTAGTATCCTTGACCCTTCACCTATCAAATACCAACAGTGGCCTCTAACTGTGATAACCAGAAACGCCACCACTTACTTCATAATTGCCCCCTGGGGGTCAATGCCTTCCCTGCTGAGAACTATTGTTCTAGACTATTCTAGACTATTCCAAGGTTTTCAGCCTCTTAAAAGCTCACTGTTACCCCTACTTTGACCAACTTCCTGATTTAATTGGCCTTTTCTTGCTTTCTTTCAGGCTCATCAGGCCACCTAAAAGTGAGGTCTTAAAAATATTATATCAAGTATTTTTAGATATATAGCAGAAGGGTTTCAGAAGCTGTAGTGCACAGCATTACCAGGCCCAGAAGACATTTAAATCATATGTTTTTTTCTATGTATATTTTGTATGTAGCTGAAAACATGCTATACATACAGTGTTTCCCCTGACACTTTACATTTTCATAGGGTTTTTTTTTAATAGCTTTGAGGTATAATTGATACATTAAAAAGTGCATATATTTAGTGTATTTTTTTAAAAGATTTTATTTATTTATTTGACAGAGAGAGAGCACAGTAGGGGAAGCAGCAGGAAGAGGGATAGGTAGAAGCAGGCTCCCTGCTGAGCAGGGAGCCCTACATGGGGCTTGACCCCAGGACCTGGGGATCATGACCTGAGCCAAAGGCAGCCACTTAATGACTGAGCCACCCAGGCGCTCCTTAATGTATAGTTTGATGAGTTTCATAGGCTTTTAAGAATTCTTCATAAGTTTCATAGGCTTTTAAGAATTCTTCATAGGGGTGCCTGGGTGGCTCAGATGGTTAGGCGTCTGCCTTCGGCTCGGGTCGTGATCCCGGGGTCCTGGGATCGAGTCCCGCATCGGGCTCCCTGCTCAGTGCGGAGCCTGCTTCTCCCTCTGCCTCTCTCTCTCTCTCTCTCTGACTCTCATGAATATATAAATAAAACATTTAAAAAAAAAAGAATTCTTCATAAACATTGTTAGTGTTTACATGATATTCTGACAGGGTTGCACCATTATGTGTTTTCTCGATCCCTATTGTAAGATATTTTAGTTGTTTCCAGGTTTTTGCTATTACAGACAACAGTGTAGTTAACTTCCCTTATATAGAGCTTTTTTTTTTTTTTTTCAATCTTGGCTTATTTCCTTAAAAGAGGTAGGAGTTACTGATTAATCCTCATTGTAACAGTTAGGAAACCAGATGCTCCTATGTTGCCAAGACAGCCTTTCCTAAGGAAGTGGTGGATGTTAATGGGTCTTATGTGAAAAAGGGGGTTATTGAGTTATATATTTGAAAAAGCCAGGTGAACAGATTTCTTTACTTCATGATTTCTCAGCACCTTGAATATACTAATGAACATAAATCTCCAAGAGGGAGAGACTTTCAAAATATACATATTTTTTCAAAATTATTTGACCTTAGACTATTTTATTCACTAAACGTTTTGGAAAGACTATTACTCAGTGGAACAAACTTTGGGAAACACTTTCTGGAATGAGGGGATATTAGAATTAAAGTCCTGTAAGTGTCTGGAATATGCTAGCCCTTAAAACTCTTCCCAGAGACAAGTCAAGGACCATTCTTTCCCTTCCAAGAAAAAGAGCTTCATGTCCAGTTTGTAGAGAGCAGGAGATCTTGAAGAAGGCATATGATAATATAGCTCCAGATTCCTCTTAGAAATTACTGGCACAGGGCGCCTGGGTGGCTCAGTTGGTTAAGCGACTGCCTTCGGCTCAGGTCATGATCCTGGAGTCCCGGGATCGAGTCCCCCATCAGGCTCTCTGCTCAGCGGGGGGTCTGCTTCTCCCTCTGACCCTCTTCGCTCTCATGCTCTCTGTCTCTTATTCTCTCTCTCTCAAATAAATAAATAAAATCTTAAAAAAAAAAAAAATTACCGGCGCAGAGTCATGGGTCTAGGAAGCTGGATGGGATTGCTGGTATGCCCAGACGACTGTCACGAAGGGAAGAAGTAAAAAGGGAAAACGTAGGTTTAACCCTTTTCTAAAGGTTCCAGATAGAGAATTTAGACCATATGGATCTTAAATGTGGGTCACAGGTTCCAGATCTCTTTCTCTTAAAATTTTTTGAGGAAAGTGATAAGGATTTTTTTTTCTTTTAAGAGTTTCTTCTTTTCTCACTTCTAAACCTCTCTACATGGGCAGAAGTGACAAGGAGAGGAAGAGGGATTCTACCAACCAGAGCAGGAATAGGGTTCCTATTCCTCATTCAACTTTTCAGTTTCTGCTGGAATGTGATGGTAAGTTGGGAATAGGGTCAAGGGGTGAAGCCTCTTTCATGCTGGAATAGTTCTCTAAATAACTAATGTCTGGCAGACATATTCTGGGATTAGAATTCTAAAAGAGTAGCAACTAGACTTTGTCTTCTGCTCTTCATTCTAGGTGGATTTAAAAAAAATGATTTATTTATTTGAGAGAGAGAGCATGTGTGAGTGGGGGGAGGGACAGAGGGGGAGAATCCTCAAGCAGACTCCTTGCTGAGTGCAGACCCCAACTTGGGTGTGGGGGTGGGGGGGATAGCCTTGATCTCATGACCCTGAGATCATGACCTGAGCTGAAATAGATACTTAACCGACTGAGCCACCCAGGTGCCCCTGTACCAGGTGGATTTGAAGTGAGGTTCAGTGACCTAGAAGGATTAGTAAGTCCAAGTCTCCTGAAGGTGGAATTCCATCATGTTCTCCCCTGCAAAGGGAACTGAGGTTCAGTGACCTAGAAGGGTTAGTAAGTCCCAAGTCTCCTGAAGGTGGAATTCCATCATGTTCTCCCCTGCAAAGGGAACCTGTTCACCTGTTTCACTGATTATAACCAAAGGTTGTGATTATATAGAGATGGGACCAAGCAGAGCCACAGTTTGGACCCGTTTGGAGCTATGTGACACACCTACTCTTAGTTCCCACTGCCTGGGGCAGCTGTTCCCCCAAAGAGTCAGTCAGATTCTTTCTATAAGAAGCACATCCTATAAGGAGAGTTTTGGGTCCTGTGTATTCAAAGGGATCTGGTTTTGCTCCACCTATCATAAGTCCAAAGAGAATTCAGCTACGCCTGTTATGTGCTGAAAGCATTGATGCTGGGTCATTCTGACTGACATTCTGACTGACATGACCCACT